CCTCCTCCTCCTCCAAGGGTCTCACTCAGCTGGAGAGGTGACTGTGGCTTGATTGCCTGCTGCTACCAAAGGTATGCCACTTATCACCGAGTATTGTTAAAGGAAGTTAAAAAATAAACCTACTTGCTCAGTTACCTGCCTTGATAGTGATTGCTTAGGGGGAATGTTCCTTTCAATGTAGTCCACCAGTGATTTGGTAAATTAGTTCCTACTGCCATAAACATCTTTATCTCCTTTCATGTCAAATGTACTTTGTTATTTGCAAGCCAGATGAGTCCTGACTGTTTTTCTCTGGGGTGTTTGCAACCCAGTGTTCAGTTTTCACTGGCACCCTCCTCCTGCACCCACCTGGAATGCTGTGTTGCAGGGAGGGAAGGGCATGAAGCACATGCTTCAGGAGAGACAAGGAGGCCTTCAGAGCATGTTCAGGACCTTCTTCTGAAATGTTTGTAAGTTTAGTTGATAGTTCATCAAACAGTCATCCTAGTTAAAGAATCAACTTGGATTTCTTGTTAAGTCACCACAGAAAAACACTAAGTGTTCCTTTAACAGTGCTTAACAACATGGGAGGAAGCGACACAAAAAATGTTCTTACTACTAAGGAAAAAAGAAAGAGAGCACAACTGACTGCCATGCATTATTTCTAAAAATAGGCATACTACAATTTTCTATAGAGCAGCAACTGCTCCTTTAAATGACATCAAATAAAATATACTTGACATTGAACACTGAAGTCTTTGTTTGATATTCCCCCCTGAATTTATCATTCTTTCAAATAATTTTTCCACTCCTCGTGACACTGAGATATTTCAACCTTGCCTGAAATCTTTCTGCAGCTTCATTAAACTGACTCCCTTTTTGGCACGAGCTGTTCCAGTTGCCATCCAAATGCTCCTGAGCAGCACTCTGTGTATTAGTAGTGCATTAACATGAAGTTCCTCCAGCTACTCCCCTCCCTCCCTTCTTCTACTACAGCAAAACATAGCTGTTACCTAATTTCTTCTTTGAATTATTAATATTTTGTGCACTCTGCTACTTGGTATCTCCTCACATTCATTTTCCTGGACTTTGCCACTGTTCCTTACTTTAATGAGAGTATTTTTGTGATAATCTATGGTCTTTTCTTTAAGTTTGGTCTGTTTGGAAAATATCACAGAATAATTCCAAATTTCCCTAGGATATTTTGCTTCATTGGTTGGTTTTTTTTTTTTCCTTCACAGCATTTTAGCCTTCTTGTTTCATTTTCTTAAACAGTTAAATGCTAATGAAACATGACAAAGACCTACGTCTCTTGTCTGCCTCTTTCCAGGTCATTTGCACGTAACTGAGACAAAAAGAGAAAGATACCAGCACCACAGCACACATCCTCTGTAAAAGCAAGCAGCCCTTTTGTGCTTCTGACTTTAGGAGGTATGTATTTATTCAAGTCATGTATTTATTCAAGTCACCAAAAGGTGACTTATTTATATATATATATATATATATATATACACTAATTTTTTAAGAGTGAAAAATGCATAGAATACAGCAATATCAAAGATTTGTCTAGAGGGAGGGGAAATCACATGTGATGGAGACACTGATATTTAAATCCATTGCATGAGCTTGGTGCCTCTAGTAGACATGTTCTGACCTCTGCTATGATCTTCCTTGGTCAAGCACGGCATAACCAAAAGATCTATTTTTTTTACATAAGTAAACCTGAGAAGCCTGTCTAGTTTTCTACAGTTAGGTTAAATGAGGGTGCATTCAGTGGCTTCTGTTGTAAATGTTTTCCAAATTGAGGTTTGGAAATTACAAGGTAGAAAAATGAGTGAAATAGGTGTGAAACTGAGGCATCCAGCCAGCTTCGTGGTAAAGGAAGATAAGAGCCCTGATGTCTCTCTAGATGAGCAACTGATTGAAATCCTGGGATCTCTTGACCAGCAAAACCAGGTCTCATCCCACCTTCAGATGAATTCTCTCTGTACCATTCCTATTTCTATGTCTTTTTTCTGGACGTGCAGTGCCTTGCACTTTCCCAGAGCCCCTCACAAATGCACCCATTATAGTCTCATCCTCTTCTTCAGCTCATGTGGTGCCCAGCTCCCAGGTGGAATACACTTTATCAGCCAAAAGCACCAGCCTGAAAGTAAACTTTGCTCCCCTGGCACACACTGCTGGCTGAAGTGAGACTGAGCAACATGGCACAAGCAGAGCTATTGCCCAGTCCCCCAGAAGTGCACAGTGACAAAAACAGAATAAAATAACATAAATGGCCTCTGTGCTCAGCTTTTACCTAATGCTGATCATCTTCAAGGACCTTGAGCCCCTTTTGAACATGACCTGCAATGTCTTGGCTCAGATGCCCTCCTGTATCTACCCAGGTACCACCCCAGCAAGAGCCAGTGTCTTGTCTGTGCCAGGAAACTCAGGGTCCAGTTTGCCAGGGTCCTGTTACCATCACCCCAGTCTGGGGCTCATGGTCTTCTCTCCTCTGCCCTGTGCAGCCTGGGAAGTCCCCCTGACCATGCCTGTGGGCCACACTCTGCCTTCCTATTGCCCCCTGAAAAATGGGCTTCAGTTGGCAAATATTTGCAGCCACTTGCACAGTCCAAGGCTGGAAGAAATATCCAGACTGGGGGTTTTAAGTTTAGGGTGCTTATTGCAGGATTCCTGTTCTTAAGCCTTACCTGAAGAAGCTTAATCCAAAGGTAACTGTAACCTAAATTATCAAAGCCTCATTCTCTACCATGTCTTTGTTGCTAAATCCCAGAAGCTGCTTTATCTCATCTAAAGTGTCCAGATTTTTCCATGCTTGCTTCAAAAATTCCTGTAATCATCACTTTTGCTTTAGGACAAATTGCTGCTGCAGTGACTGGTGATGAAAATATTTGAAGGGTATTATTGATTAGATCCACCTCTTGGAGGCAGGGTTAACTGTTTTATGGAGAAAAAAATGTGAGAAGAAAATGCTACTTTGCCCATCACTTAAGGCTGGGGTTTAGTATTTTAAAAATATTTCTATATTGAAATAATATAGAAATATTATTATTTAAATATAGGAATATTTTTAAAATGCTAAACCCCAGCCTTAAGTGATGGGCAAGGTGATGGGCAATGGCTAAATTTCATCTCTCCATCCTAAAAACCACCTCCAAATTTGGATTTTCTTGGCTTGGTTAACAAGTCTTCTCCAAAACAGTGCTTTGCAGATTTACTCTCCCGCAAAATCAGCATTTGGTCTGTTTTAATACCAGTGTTTCCAGTGTGAAGAGATGTCAGGAACTGGACACTGGGAACTAAATTTACTGTCAGAGGCCTTCTCAAAGCTTCACTTCAGGAAGTGAAGCAAACCTTGCAACCTTGCTTCTGTGGGAAGGTTGGAAAATGGGGCCCATCCTTCATACAGCCAGGCTCTCCAGCCTAAGTGAACAATGTTTCCCTCATCTTTTTCATCATGCTTGAGTTTTTAGTCTTCCTTCTCTGTCAGAGAAACATAATTTAAATTATTAATATTACTATAGACCATATCACCTTAGCAATGGATCAAAGCTGAGGAGTTATGGATAGATCTGCATCTATGCCTTTTGTTATTAGTATGGAATATCTTCAGAAAAGCACTGGGTTTTGACCTTGGAGTCCATCCTATCACAGCCTGATACAGCAGCTGTTCTGAATTTAGCCCAACCAAGTATTTAGCCATCCAAGGATTATTCTGCTAAAACCAATTCAAGACACTACAGCAACAACTTCAAGCAAACATGAAAGGAAAACTGGAGGAATAAGAAAAACACACTTTAAAACCTTATCTTGTCAAAAGAAAAAAAGATGGCAGAGAGGTTTGCAGGTAGTAAATGAATTCTAGAGTTATCAAGTGTTTCAGTATTGTCACTGCTCTTAATCAACCACAAAAGCTATTTGTTTTCTAATACTCCTAGTGTCAGGCTTGTTTTCCCTTATTCATGTAAAATATTGGATGTGTGTCAGTGAATCCATTTTTCTGCCTTCTTCTGGCAGTCTGGGGGAAAATCAAGTCCTGGGTGCAACATCACCATCTGGGCAAGGGAGGGGATTGTTCTGCTCTGTTTTGCACCAAAGTAGCCTCACCTCGAGTGCTGGGGGCAGTTTTGAGTGCCACAATTTAAGAAAGATATTAAACCATTAGAGAGTGTCCAAAGGAGGGCTATGAAGATGGTGAAGGGCCTTGAGGGGAAGCTGTATGAGGAGCACCTGAGGTGACTTGGTCTGTTCAGCTTGGAGTAAAGGAGACTGAGTCGAGACCTCATTGCAGTCAGAATTTCCTTGTGTGGGGAAGAGGAGGGCCAGGCACTGATCTCTTCTCTGTAGTCACCAGCGACAGGACCCAAGGGAATGGCCTGAAGTTGAGCCAGGGGAGGTTTAGGCAGGATATCAAGAAAAGCTTCTTCACCTAGAGAGTGGCTGGGCACTGGCACAGGCTCCCCAGGGAAGTGGTCATAGCACGAAGACTGACAGAGTTTGAGGAGTGTTTGGACAATGCTCTCAGGCACATGGTGGGATCCTTGGAACTGTGTGTATAGGGACAGGTCCTGGACTCAAAGATCTGGGTAAATCCCTTCCATTTCAGGATATTATATGATTCTAGAAATGAAGAAAAAGAAAGATGAGTTCCCTGGGCTGTTGGTATCTGCAAGTCTTGCCCCAGGGTTGTCTTCCCAGAACATACAATTTGATGCTTCTGTACTGAAAAACTGATGCAACAAATGTTTCAGTAGAAAATGTTACCCTGAAGTTATTTATAAAGTTGACACTAAAGATGTTCACTCTTTGGTCATTTTTTCAATTTTTCTTTCAGCATATTGACTGTGAATCAATTGAAATTTTTATGTGATAAAATGAGTATACTTTCTCCTGGCTTGGGGAGATTAAATGAGACTTAAATAATCTCAGCACTTTGTAAATGTCTCTGTTTTTTAGTGCTGAAAAGAAATGTATATTGCAGGATGTCTGCAATGTTGAATTTTATCCTTAACTTTCAGATATCAACCATTTCAGCCCTGTGCTGCTCTCTAAGGCAGTAATGTCCCCCTCATCCTCTTCAGCATTGGAGATGGAGATCTTCCAGTACATTGATGCGCATCAAAGTGATTTCATCAAGGTAGGACCTATATTGCAGTGAAATAATGAGCACAGAGCTGGTGCTCCAGAGGCCTGGGCTCCTCTGGCAGGAGAAGAAGTGCCTGTCACAAAGGTAATGAGCAGGGTTCCAGGTCTGGCATCAGGAGGGCAATATGCACTTCACGCAGCAAGGCTGTAAGAGAGCAGGCTGCTGGGAACCTCTGGGGTGAAGGAGGGACTTGCATGGACTTCAGCAAGAGATGGTCATGGGCATCCTTTGAGTGTGTTCAGAGAGAGGCTCCACTAAGCCAAATGCACCTGCATGGGGCATGCAAGCCAGATAGGATGCTCACCCTGTCTGCTTCAGAACTGATTTTTGTAGGTTTGCTCTTTAGAAGGAGAGGAGTCTTGGTCCCATGCTGGCTTGTGCTTTCATTTTTGTCAACCCTCTGTGAAAAGACAGAAACATAATTAATCCAGTCAGTATCAGTTATGCATTGAGTCAATGAGCACTTCTGAATCCTCATGAGAGCCACCAAGGTAAGCTGTACATAATGCAATTTCTATAATGCAAACTAGTCAGCATCTATTCTACCTCCTCTTCCATTGGATTTTAGATCCAGGGTTGACAATGTGAATGCCTAAGTGTGAGCACCCTCTCTGTTTAGAAAATCAGGAATCTCAACCCTGGGAAGACATCTAAGGGACTCCTCTCTATGCTGAAACCTTAGAGCAACTGTGATAATGCTGTGATGATACAGAAAGGAAATAATCTTCCAGTGTGAGATTTCTGATACAAGGGCTGAGGACAATAACATTCTGGATCACCTAATTGCACTTTTCTTCCTGTGCAGGATCTGAAGGAATGGGTGGCTGTGGAAAGTGATTCTATTCAACCACACCTGAGGAAAGAAGTAATGCATATGATGGCTTTGGCAGCAGACAGACTTGCAACTCTGGGAGCCACTGTTAATTTAGTAAACTTGGGGTCACATCAGGTGCTTATCTGATTCTTGGCTTAAAACATCATATCTACCCATGGGTCTACCTATTGTATTCAGTGCTATGTACATGTATGTTATGACATAGTGTTGTTTTTTGAAAGCTAGATACAAATTTATCAATAGTCCTGTACCTACATGACACCTGTTGAAATCAGGTCTGAGAACTGAGAGCATACTGGGAACCACAGAGGCAATCCAAATGCAAATTGATGTTCTGTGCGTAGGAGGGAGTTTGATGCTTTTAATTGAAGTAAAAGGACTGAGTTTTTTACTGGGGTTAGTTTTTAAATTTTTGTCTGTAATGAAGCATCAGAACTAATGCATCATTTGTCACTGAACTTACTTTATGAGGGAGGTTGCTTTTACAAAGAAAATGTTGTCAGACAGAACATGTAGGGGTGTTAGCTACCTAAACCATCATTTTTGGTTTTCAGAGCTTCTGACAAGTGACCCAAACTATTTTCTTTCATTGTCGGAAAGCAATAGGGAAGAATTCATCTCTGAGAAACCTTAGTCTTTAATTAACTTAGTTTACTGTAGCCATGGGCTTTTTCCTGCCCTGGGCTGTTTCATTCCTAATCTAACAGGAATTCAAAAGTTCAATAATTGTGATTCTCTTTTCTTTTCTCTGATGCTTTCGGTGAGGGTTCCGATTCTTAGCACAAGGAGCCTGAAGTACAGCAACACTTTAATATTTCAGTTTGTGTCATTTGATAGTTGCAGAGAATGCAATTGGGCCCTGCGGAGCTCCGTTCTGCACAGAGCCACATTAGAGGTTTAGCCTTAACCTGTTTTTAAGACAGTCTGACATAGCTGCTGCCTCCTGCCAGCAACACTTTTCTTCAGATTCTATGTTTGAACTTACAAGCCTCCTGCCCTCTGTCTGTGGTTAAATCAAACCTCAAATTAATTTGTGTGGCTTTTGACTATTTCAGTGTCCCAATAGACTCCATAGCACAAGATTGCCTCTGTCTTCTCTGGTGCTGGGAAGTGAGAGCTTAGTGAGGAGGGCATTTATGACAATAAAATGTTTGAAGACTTCTACAAAGTCTAGCAGGAAATGAACAGTTGAGGAGAAAGATCTTAGTTTCTCTGAATAGGTTAGAACTGGAGTCAGTCAGATTTGTGCACCTAATGAAATAAAAGGCAATTGAGTGTAGAAGTATTTTCAATACTGAGAATTCCAGTTGTTTTTGTACATTTCTAAGTTTTAGAAGATTTGGTTTTCCTTAGTCGCCTTTTTCTAACCTTCCTCCGCAGCTGCCTGATGGCCAAGTCCTCCCACTGCCTCCTGTGCTTCTTGGAGAACTGGGGAAGGATCCACAAAACCCCACTGTATGTTTCTATGGTCATGTGGATGTGCAGCCTGCCAAGAAGGAAGATGGCTGGGACACTGACCCCTACACACTGACTGAAATCAATGGTGTGCATCTTCTCATAAGTTTTGTATCATTATTGGAACACGCGACTGAGGTTCTGTGTGGGAGAAGGGTTCCTGTCTATTTAACCAAAACATGAGGATTTCTGTAGAAATCTTTGGGACATGTCCAGCAGCTTTCAGCTTTGATGGTTGTTCTGTGACTAGTGAGATCCATCAGTGACTGCCTAATACTTGGTGTGGAAATATTAGCATTTGTGGTAGAAGATTGTGAGGACCCTTTAATGTAATTATCCTTCCAGCGCAGCCAGCTGACTGAAGGAACAAAAATAATGGATAGAGGGTCAACAGATAAGTAAGACCTCAGAAATCCTGATTCCCAGGCTATAACCACTGAGTTGCCCTTTCTCATTATCTGGAATCAATTCCCAATAGCCTTACTGGCATAAATTTTTTGCCTTATTCCAGTGTATATCCAGTGGGGACTGCTACAGAAGTTTATACACAGGCACAGATTTCAGTTTGTACAGTGATAAGTATATATGATGTGCAGTTGGAAAAGAAATTGAATACTTAGACTTGTAGCTTCATATTTCTGCCATGGCATTTATCTGTAGAGTTTTGCTGCTTGTTAGCTGGTCTGAATGATGTGTCCAGAAACTGCATATTGTGCAAACCCTCCAGGCATATCTGGTATGAACAAACAGTTCCTGAGAAGAAAATTGAAGCTCAAAAATTGGCATGTGGCAGAAACCACAACATAATGCATGTAAAAGGAAGGAAAGAGGAAAAACAAGTGTACTGTTCCTTTGGGAAGCGCCCAAACACTCATCACCTTATTTAAAATGAGTCAGTGAAATCCTGACACTTTTGGGACTTCTTCCCTCCATCACTAAAGCTTCTGTGGCAACTGGAATTTGCCAATTACATTGAAGTGATGAGGGAAAATTCAAAGATTGCTTAAAAACTTTCCTCTTTTCCTTTTAAGGAAACCTCTATGGCCGTGGAACAACAGACAATAAGGGACCAGTCCTAGCTTGGATAAATGCAGTGGAAACATTCAGAGCCTTGAAATTAGTAGGTATCAATGATAACTTTTTTATTTTTATCGCTAATTTTTACTGTTCAGTATCATTTGTTGTTATTTTTATTATATCTCTGGAGGGATGTATTTGCATTCCTGAGTAAGATGATACCTCTCTGTCCCAAAAGACTACATACAATTTGAAATATTAACTATTTCTGATGCAACACTTAGGGCACTGGTCCCACTCCAGTAATAGTTTGTCTTTGAGCATTCCTGTTCTGAGCAGTCTGTCTGCAATGTAAATACACTCTTGCTGCCATTGCCCTGCAGAGGAAAACCCACGGGGAAGAATTCAATATGTATTACATACATTCAATATGTATTACATACATTACACAGCTCTGATAATTGTTCTGTTCTCATGAGAGCTTTTAAAATGGTAAAATAACAGACATTACAGAATGCTGATGAAGACTCGTCTCTGCTGATACATTCTGCTGATCTTTGGTTTTGTCTGCCTACAAGATACCTTCAATTTATGTGTCTGTGTGAAGGGAATAAGCATCTAAAAATATTCATCCAGAATGGGCTGTTATGTCACCAACAGTCCAGATTTATCAAAGCAAATGCTTTGAGTGGGTGCATTCTCCAAATACGAATACAATCACTCAGAGTCTGACAGATTTCTGAAGTCAGACATTTGCCTAAATTACTACAATGACGAACATAGCCATCTTCAAACAATTTAAAAATTTTGGAGTAGTCTTACCCCCAAGGTCAAGGTAAACCAAAAATATATTTTAGGCTTGTAACTGGGTTAACTATTTTCCTTTAAGCTGAATTTGAATGACATATTCTGTTAGTACAGTTTTCTGTCTCTTGTATGACATTATGGCACAAACTGAGCATTAAGTCTTGATTTTTTTAAAGTCCCCTTACAGCCTTCTGGAAAACATGTTTTCCTTGCATCTATAGTACTGAATTGACCTTGGTCTCAAACCCTTGAAAACGCACATTATTTGCCCAAAGACTAGTTGTAAGTGGATATGGTTGTGGATTTGACATCTTTCTAGTTTTTTCAAATCACTAATAGCTATCTTGACATTTAACAAACAAGCAAAAATGATTTTTTGTAATTTGAATCCTTTCTCTAGAAAACAACACAGACCATCAAACAATATTCATTAACAGTTTGTTTCTAAAATTTCTTTGGCCAGCTGATGATTTATCAGTGAACCCATCCATGACACAAGTTCGTTTAATTTTACATATTTGTTCTTGCCTTTAATCTGAGCAGCGAATCAAAAGAGAAAACATCTTAAAACCTCAAATGAGAAAACAAATTGCAACAGGAAACTAAGTTGAAATTTATGTCCCCTATGGGATGTGTCAGCATTTTCAACTCCCACTATTCCATAATAAAGGTTCTCCTAATTACTCTTGGAAATGCATCGTTATCAACCAGCAGGCTTGCAAATTTATGAGTGTTAAAAAGACAATTATAGTAGAGTAACTGACAATGTTTTTATTACCATATAAGTCTGGTGATAGACAACATTGGGAAAACCACAGCCAGTGGCTCCCACATGGGCAGTAACAGTGGAAATGTAAGGGGCAGGAAATTTTCTGTGAAAATGCAATTGCTATTAGACAGTTATAATTTCCAAAGCAATTAGAATATTGAACAGCTCTGACAGAAAGCCTGTTTAATGAGACATTCCAGCAAGTTTTCTGAAAATGCAAAGAAGGAAAAAAGACATCACTTATTGTCCTCTGAAAATGAATAGTAGATAAAAACATGAGGAAAAGAACAAGTTTTTCTGGGAGCCTATATGTGTCTGTCACTGGCTTTTCTAATGTAACAAGCTATATATCCTATGTACTCATCCAACATCTTTCTTATCCTAACACAATTTGCATAGCAAACCAGTCTGCTCCTAATTTTAAAGCTTTTTTTTAAAGAAAAAATAAAATGCTTGTTTCTTACCCAGACTTTTCTAATTTTTATGTAGGCTATGCCAGTGAACTTCAAGTTTGTAATTGAAGGCATGGAAGAAGCAGGATCCTTGGGGCTAGAGAAGCTACTTGAGGAAGAAAACCAGCGCTTCTTCTCTGATGTTGATTATATTGTAATTTCAGACAACCTGTGGCTCAGCAACAAGAAGCCTGCCCTCACCTATGGGAGTCGGGGCAATGCTTGCTTCTTTGTGGAGGTAAAGGACACAGGTTCACTCCAGCTGAGCCTCTGACAGACAGGGATGATGTAGCTGTACTTACATCTGCATGCAGAGAAAGACTGAAGGAAAGCTTAATATTTACAAGTACAGAGCTTTCTTCTGCGTCCCTTTTGGCTTCTGCAGATTCCCCTCCTCATTTCAGTTCCATTAGCCTTATTTACTTCCATTAACTTCTCTTCAATCATTTCTTCCCTTGATCCCTTTCCTATCCCATTACTCTCCTGCCACCCTGCCAGTCTCTTCTCATTTCTCTCTCTGTTCTCATGGACACCATCCCTACACCTGCCTCTCCAACTCTCTCCAAAACCATCATTTCTGCTGCCCTGCTCTTTTGCAGCAGATACTGCTCGGTATAATGAATCAGCCTAAAGGGACTCAGTTTGGTTGGATCTCTGGGTTTAAGAGCCACACAAAATTTTTGTAAGCACTGACAGGAGTAGATAAAAGTTCACTGTAGCCAACATGCTATATTTAGCAGGCAATGTGAGCTACTGTGAAATAAAGAGCAGAAATTTCTCATCTGGAAATGCTTCCTGATGAAGCATAAAAGGAATTCAGAGAGAAGATTAAAGAACTTGAGAACTAAAGAAAAATCTGCATTAACCTTTATGTCTGAAAAAGAATGAATTTTTTTTTAAACTGAAAGAGCCTTGGCAGCCTTGATTCAATTCTTCTAAGTCTTGGTTAAGAAAAATGATGCTATTAAAACATCAAAAATGATCTCTCCCTGCTAGTAGACAGTTAGCTGTAATGAGGTTTTGAGAAGAATAAACAAGTCCTTTGCAGGAAAATATTTTATGATAAACTCAAGTATGAAAATGTGTCTGGAAAAAGAGCACATTTAATAACTCAAATGCCTCTATTCTAACGACTTTTTATTCAAGAGACCTATAAATTTTTATTTGTTGCAATCTTGAATTAAGATTGGACATATATTCTTAGTATCAAACAAGATTATTTTTTGCCTTTTTTAAAGAAGATTTTGCATTAAATAAAAAGGGTAGACAACTTGAAGAATTTATTCTCCAATGTTAGAAACAGTAATAATATGCAAATGTTTAATGTATGATGTCTTTAATCTTACTAAAGCAAAAGAGGGACTGGAGGAGGACCCTTGCTGTCAAATGTGTGAGTGCTACAGACAGCTGAATTTCTCTCTCTTGGTGGTTGACAACGGAGCTCCATCTTCTCTGCCAAAGCAGATTGTTCCTGACATGATGTTTTCTATTTAATAATTAGAAAAAAACCCAACCATTTACTGTTCATTTGTGATCTTGTTCAAAAAAACTGGACCCAGCAGACAGAAGAATAAGGTAGTGAGTGTTCACATGTAACCAGTGGTTTTGGTGCAGGTTGAATGTGGCAGCAAGGACCTTCACTCTGGAACTTTTGGGGGCATCATTCACGAGCCGCTGCTGGACCTGATAGCGCTGCTGGGTAAGAACACACATCAGGGGGGCAGAAGAACACAATGCTCAGGGGCAGCTGGGGAGAGCTGCCCATCATCACCCAGCAAAGGTCAGGGCCATGGTTAGTTGTTGTAAGCTAAGACTCATTGAAGAAAGATCCTCAGATGTGGTCACCAATTGCTGTGGTGTTGTTGTGAGGGTCTCCAGGAGAGGTGAGAGATGAGAATCTGACTCCAAGTTCTTAGAAGGCTGATTTATTATATTATATTATGATATTATATTATATTAAAAGAAAATGATATACTAAAACTATACTAAAGAAAGAGAAAGGAGATATTAGAAGGCTAGCAAAGAATGAATAATAAAAACTCATGACTGACCAGAGTCCTGACACAGCTGGACTGGGATTGGTCATTAAGTTAAAACAATTCACATGGAACCAATCAAAGATGCACTTGTTGGTAAGCATCCTCCAAACCACATTCCAAGCAATCAGATAATTACTGTTTACATTTAGTTTCTTAGGCTTCTCAGTTTCTCAGGAGAAAAATGTAAGGCCAGTAAGGCCAGGACTTCAGACATGTTAAGCTGATGTCAGTCACACATCAATTAAGAACATTTAAGCATTACAGGCAACTTTAATACATGCAACTTTAATACATGCCCACATAGCAAAACCTGACTTTTTAATGCTGCTTTGTATCCCAGTAGGATGATGTTTTCATGTCAGAAGCTCGGCTGACACATCACACACTACACACAAACAGCAGCTCAATGATTTTCTTAATAAATATGCAAATATATCAAGTTTGGTGAAGCAACTTGGCAGATGCAAACAGTTGTGAGGCTCACTCGTTTGGTAAAGAGCCAGGTAGAAGGGAAAAGGTGTTATGACTGCTAAGGGGAAGAAATAGAGGCTCCCCTTGTACTGATATCTGTATCTTATTTTGTAGACAGCCTTGTGGATTCCACAGGTCATATTCAGATTCCTGGAATCTACGACAGTGTTGCTGCCCTGACGGAAGAGGAAAGGAAGTTGTATGAATCGATTGAATTTGATCTAGAGGAACATAGAAATAACTGTGGTGTGAAAAAATTCCTCTATGGCACCAAGGTAACATAATATCTCTGTGAATACTCAGCAGAAAGAATTTAAATCACCTATTTGTAGCATTTATATATAAAGCCAAACTGAAAGATATTTTCAGTCAATGGCAAGCTCAAAATAAAATAAAGGAGCACTGGGAAGTAAAAGATAAATAAAATCAGTCTGCTGAAAATGTAAAACACTGCATCTGGGGAAAGTGACCTGAAATATGAACAATCAATTAAAAGTAATGATGCAAAACTAACAGTGTAAGTCTCCCTTCCTTGCCTACCCCTTCCCTCCCCCTAAGCCTAATCAGCCAAATAAAACATGAATTAAAATGCCTACATTTAGGTTACATAGTAGGAAAGAAGTTGTATTCAGCTCTGAAAAAATGGGAGGCAGCCTTAGGCAGATGTGTTTCGGATGGTTTTCATTTAATACAGATTTTGATGTCTGCCAAGCCTGCCATAAAAAGCATCCAAAGCTACAAGCTTCTCCTTACCAGCAACTAAAAATTATATCCTAAATAAAAAGCCAGCAGGTAAGGGCTGGCTCAGAAAGATTTCTCTGCATAAGAGTGGCAGCTGGGAGAAAGGAGTTGATTGATTTTTTTATAACTAACATAATTATTGTAGTGTAGGTTCTGCTAACAGGGATGCTTTTATAGCTTTCAAATTACCTAAAGCTAGACTGTAAGAATCAGTAATACAAAAGTAAAATGTGACTACACTGAGTTTTGATGCTTTACCTGTATGAGGATGAATTGATGTTAATTTTAAGTATAGATAAAGGTCTAGTCTCATAAAACTGAAGGAAAGCAGCAGCACCCTGAAGTTCTGCATGAAGACCAGTTTATAATTTATACATTTCTATTTTCCTTAGAATGATAATCATAATATTTTTTTTTCCCTCTGCATCTTCTCCAGGAAAACTTAGTTACTGAAAATTATAATCTTTCCTATTGTGCTTTTTAGTGTTCATTGGTAGAATTTCTTCACTGGTATCATCTGGGTTGGATCTGGCTTTGTGGTTTTTCCAGTGACAAGTTCCAGGATAAACATGCAGTCAGATCAGAAGTTGTTCTGATATTACTTTTCACTATGAAAATTTGCTTTGAAGATTTTTAAAACAATGATCTATTTTTCTCACATTTTAAGAAAAACTATTACCATCCAAATCATTCTATGACTGAAAGTAGTAGTAATTTTTAAAAAGAAAAATACACGTGCATGGGTTTAACTAAAAAAAAATCAAATATCTTTAAAATATAGAGGTCTCCAAATACAAATTTTAGGATGGAAAAAGCTTGTTTACATAAATTGTGGCTTGTTAATATCCCTTCTATTTTGAATTTTTTTAAAGGAAGAAATACTTCTACACCTGTGGCGTTACCCCTCTCTCTCTATTCATGGGATTGAAGGAGCTTTCCATGAACCAGGCATTAAAACAGTCATTCCAGCAAAAGTAATTGGCAAATTCTCAATCCGTCAGGTCCCCAACATGGACCTTTCAGTTGTGAAAAAACAGGTAAGATACAAATCTTTTCTTTGGCCACTACTGTGTAAACTCAGTCTCTCTTAGCACCTTGCAAACCTAGACTTGTAGTACACTGAATGTTTTTAGCACTTATTTCTTTCCAAGAGAAGTAGAAATGTGGGTATAAGCTCGAGTGGCAAGATGAAAGCTTTTTGTAAAAGTATTTTCCCTACAGGTGGTGGACCACTTGGAGGGTGTCTTTTCCAAGAGGAACAGTCCAAACAAACTGAAAGTGTCCATGCCTTTGGGTGTAAAGCCCTGGCTTGCTGATTTTAATGATCTACTATATAAAGCAGCAAGAAGGGCAATAAAAACAGGTGTGTTCCTTTTTTTTTTATTCCCCAGTTCTTAGTGTGTCTGTAGGTGTGCAAGGGCATTGTGCTCAACAATAAGGCAAAGCAGATTTCCCAATTCAGTGCTGCAGCCTCTTACTCTTACAAATCTCATTGGTTTTGATAGAACAACTCATCAGCATCTTCCATACCTTGTTAAATTTTGATATGTTTTATAGGAGTAGCCAAAAGGCCTTGTTTACTTATTTTTGTATTGATAAGAAACCAGAGATTTATAGAGCAGAGCTGATTTGTGAGAACAACTGGCTTCACACTCAAACCCATTTCTACTCAGAAGCTCTTAGTATCAGCTCTTTCCTTAAATCTATGATAGCAGAGAAAACCACCTGGATTACACCTATTTATTAATTCATTTTTCCAATATATTTCAGTTTTTGGAGAAGGTCCAGATTTCATCCGTGATGGCTCAACAATTCCTGTTGCCAGAATGTTTCAGACTGTAACACAGAAAAGTGTGATGATGCTTCCGATTGGAGCGGCCGATGCTGGGGAGCATTCCCAAAATGAGAAAATAAGCAGGTTTATTTCATTTGTCAGTTTCTGCTACTAGAGAAGGGGGGGCAACTGAAGTCCCTTGGTACCCATGAATGAGCATGCCCAGATGGGAAGCTTTGCTGTGCATTGGGCAGCCCAAACCTACTATCTCCAGCACACTAGATGTTGTGCTAAGCAAGAAAGGAAAAATCCCAGTCTAAAGCATACCATTATACACTTTTCACTGGGTGTCTACTCAGTCTTTAAATTCATTGCATTGGCAATTTTCATTTCTCTAGCAATGAAGATGATGGTGTGGATGGGGACTCTTCCATCACAGCATCTGTTTTGAAGTGCACCAGTCACAGACACTCACGGTTCTGTGAGGATTTTGGTGGTTTTCAGTATAAACAGCTATAAAGAGTTATTTATAGTCCAGGGACCACAACTAGCATAATTATACAAAAAAATAGCTTAAACCTGTCACTGGTGTTTATTGTTGGAGGCACCATGGTAAGCCACTATTCAATGTGTTGCCTGAACACTTGTGCAGTCTCTGAGTCAATTCATGCTGAACTCTGGAGAGAGGAGAATCCTACAATAATTCTCAAATTACTTTTTGCCTCTCCTCATTAAAGCCTCAACGCTGCTGGCTACAGGTAATACCAATTTGGGTATGTAAACCTGGAAAATAGTTTTCTGAAGTAAATCCAGAGGAGTACCAGATTGAAGGATGTCCAGCACTTCTGTGCACTTGGTAATTTTCGGGGGTTACCAGTATTGCAAATTCCTATGAAGACTCCGAAAACTTCACTGGACTACATTCCTAATTTTGTGAGCACAACAGCCTGACAAGACTTCATTGTGTTTCTTTCCTTCTTCACAGACACAACTATATTGAAGGAACCAAATTGTTTGCAGCTTTTTTCCTGGAGATATCAAAGCTACATCGGAACTTAAATGAAACTTCCCACACAGAGACTATCAACTGACAGACCAAGAAAATCAGCAAAACACTTTCTTAAATTTTCTAACTTAAATAAAACACATAAATCACATATTCAGTGGCTGTGAATTGGTGGGGAAAATAATAAATGCTGTGCTATTTCCTGGCATTCTACTAAATGGCATGCATTTGTTATATGGTCCATCAAGTGCTCTTATCCCTAATGCTGTAAAATAGGGTTAGGGATAATTAATTCTTGCTGAATGGAACACGTGACATTTTAGTTTTAAACTTCAAGACAAAGGGAATATATACATGCATTTTATCAACATGACTTTATTTCTGTTTTGTAGTATCACTCTTCATGCTGCCTAGCTCACATTCCAGTTTCTGAATATGAGCAATGCACACTGCAATTTCCTCCTAACTATATACAAAATTTTACTTACCTAATTCTTTGAAGAAAGATCTACTGTCAAACTAATCTCTTTCTTTGTCCTTCACTGAAGGTTTTAAATAGGAAGTGCAATGAAATGTTCTTGTTGAGTTTGATGTGAAGATTTGCCCATTATTATCTATTTATGGGTATAATCACTGAGGTAAGTAGAACTACAACAATAAATAAACATTTCCCGGTCTGGATTATGCCTTCCCTCTTATCCAAATCACCTCTAACTATGCTGTGAGTAGTTTTAAAAATCACTTAATGTTTTCTTTATGTGACTTTCTTTCCATACAATAGAAAGAAATTTTTGTAAACATCTGTTCTGGCCAAAGTCTGTCATCAGAACAGTGTTTTCTCACCCAATAAGCAACTTGTAAAGCATCAGTTTACATTAATAATTAAGTTGAAAGCAAATTATATATTTTGAAATAAAACCAAACTAGTTGAGAGGTCTGATTGCTGTTTAGGCAAAACATCCAGCACAAAGCTTATAATTAAAATCTAGATTTTTTTAAACTTTAAAATGTGATTTTCACTCTAACATAATTCACACACAACCAAACCAATGGAACCAGTAGTGTTATCCCTACTGTTTAAAAAAATTACATTAAGTAAATTACATACCGTACTTGGGATGCTTTCTTTTTCTCCTGTTACAAAAAACTGCAAGAACAAAGATGTGGATACAGAGACAATAGAAGAAAATACAGGTACATTCTCAATAAACACCCATTTTCAGCCCTAGCTGAGACTGTGAGACAGTTCAGCTGCAAGAGCTGAGTAAGGATTCTGGCTCTGGCTGCTGATGGTGTTCAAGGGGAAAAGGAGAACTCAGCTCAGTGTCTTACTTCACTGCTGACTGCAGAACTGCAGGGTACTCCAGGACAAGGAACAAAAGCCTCAAAGACCAGAAGGCTCTGCTTTGTGTATCATCAACCTGCAGAATAATTCTCTGTGGCTCTCAGTTCCCTTCACCTGAAGAAAGCATTTAGGAACCAGCATGGTAATGAATGTTGCAGGGGTGAGTACTCCAGTGTCTGCACAAGACTCAGGGCAGGTTGGCCCATGCTGAAAAGCTATCACAACATAGAGGTACATGAGGGAATTTTGCTGAAATATTTCAAGACATGTAGTTGACATAAAACATTGCAATCTCTGGGATTGCAGTGGTTTTACAAGTTACAGAATCAGAGACTCACAGAATATGCCAAGTTAGGAGAGACCCACAAGGATCATCACAACAAAGTTGTAGTCCTGAACAGAACCATCCCCAAATTAGCTTAAAACATAATGGAAAGAAACATCTGTGCATAAATATGACCCTTTTGGCAGAAGAGCTGAAAAATTAGTGAGATGGAGGTGGCAGATTTCTTCACAAAAAAGGGATGGAGACTGTGTTTTAGGAATATGACTGCTCTGAAATACCACTATAATATATGCTATGTGATCTACAACATTATGAAGTTGGAATGGAAGATGGGCTTATTTATTTTTTACTGTTGCTCTTTGGAATGACAAATAAAATGGAGCCAAAAAAAAAGCACCATTTTATAAGCACAGATACTCTCAGAGCAGTGCACTGAAACAACGTTCTGCTCTGAAATAGCCACTTACTGTCAAGTTAAAACTATGTACAGTGGGGCCACTGAATTATGCAGACCATCTCCATGCCTCCTTCAGTCCCAGAGGAGAGAAGAAGCATAAAACTTCAATTTCAGATTCTCCTCTCCATGAAAGAAAAAAAGCATTGAGAAAGCAACTCCTGTGCACAGGGGTATTGAGAGCTACACTTTGCTCCTTAGATCAAGAATGAGTATCCACCCTGTCTTTCCTTTCTTTTTTTTTTTTTTTTTTTTTTAATATTGGGCAGCATCTCATCAGCCTTGTGAAAAAAAAAAAAGAATTGGTATGCATTTTTCTAAGGTCTGTAGTGTTATATAACATTTCTAGAAATGTTTCTTCTTGGTTGCACTAACAGCTATTTTTTGCCACAGTAAATTAAAGATAACTCTACAATACTAGTGTTAGAAATAAAATTAAGGTTTGCTTCTCTTTGTTAGCCACATCAAAGTCAGAGCACATTAGATATTCTCTAATTGTGACCAACTAACTGCAGAAATCATATGTACAATTTGTGTGTCTACATATGCATGTATGTAGCTATATATATATGTACACTTCCAAGATCTAATCCAGTTATTGATTTAAAAAAGAAAAAATCTTGTCCATTTTGATTCAGGTTTTTTCTTACTAATGACTGAATAATGGGAAAACAACATTGTGGGGATGTCCAAAAGCAGCATCTGTATCTCTGAAAGCTTGATACAGATATCAAAACCTGGATCATAGGATAATAAAAGGATTTTGGTTGGAAAGGACCTTAAGGATCATAAAATCATAGAATTGTTTGGGCTGGAAGAGACCTTTGGGAACCATCTAGTCCAAACCCACTGCAATGAGCAGGATCAAGCAGATCAGGCTGCTCAGAGCACCATCCAAGCTGACCTCGAATGATCCAGGGATGGTGCATCCAACCACCTCTCTGGGCAGCCTGTGCCAGTGTTTCACAGACCCCAGAGCACACCTAACAGTACTAGGTGCCTGTATATAGCTGGTCAAGTTCTGCCCGTTTCCCTGGTAGAGAAAGACTTGGCACAAGTTTTCCTTTTTCTTGTAGGCTGTACATCTGTGTTGTAAGGAACTGAACACTCAAGAGTGGGAACATATTTTTCTACTGATTATTAATGTGAAAGAATAAATTAGAACATTTTAATTTCCATTTCAAATCAGTGGGTTTAAATGTGAAAGTTGCTTTTTATATTAGATAAACACAGTTTTTAATCCTTAAGTAATGTTTCAAAAGAGAAGACTGAAAAGTGTGTCAGCTAAAATCATGGAGAATAAGATGCTGACAATAGGAGCTGAAGGCATAGAGAAATGAGCAGCCTCCTGAGACTGAGAACTAATCAGGTCATCATCTGCTTAGCCTGTGAAAGTGGAAATTAGGCTTACTCACGTAGTTATGGTTTTACTTTTCAGAAACAGTACTCTCAAGAAGTTTAACTTTGACTCCTGCTAGTTATTCCTTTCAGAATACAGCATTTGGCTTGTTTCACAAAATGTTCTAAAATGCCTTGCTAGTTAAGGATGTTCATAGTCCATATTTAGACAGGGAAGATTGTGCAACTGTGCTTTTATGTGTGACACAGAGGCCCATGCCACAGTGGCTGGTGCCAAAGAGACCCCTGAGTTCCCTTGTCTCTGCTGCAACATTCCAGCTGCGAGTAACATGAAAAGTTAAACACTTATTGCTCCAAGGTGAAGCTTAACTGATTTTCAAGTCTTCACCTTGTATCATAGAATATCTAGAATTGGAAGGTACCCATAAGGATCATTGAGTCCAACTCCACGTATATCTGTATTTAGAGCTGGAGATACATTGTGCCCTTTAGGAGATGTGTCAATAAATATTTTAAACAAATATATGAATAGAAAAATACGAACAGATCCTTATTAACAGAGTGCATATTTGTCTGGTTTGCTCTACTGCCAAATATTTCAGTAATCTTCTCACTTGCATTCTTCAGAACAGTCTATGAAGAACACCTCTGTGTTGCAGATAAATTTGACAAATATGTAGCAAAGGTTTTCCTGCAATGCTGCTACATTAGATTACATAAAAGTAGACCAGGAAATTCAAAATTATCTGCTAACAACACAAGCAAGGTGGTATGCAATCTTGAAACCTCTTTTCATATTCTTTTTTTAGCTATGAACTTGAACCAGTGCGAGTCTCCTTCCTGAAGTCACTTAGAAGTCATTTCAACATTTCCACTACTTTGTAAGGAGGTGAGTCACTGTCTGTTGTAATGGGAGGATCAGCAGCTCCCAGTTTTCAGCTGGTTGTCACATGGAATGAGTTGTTTGGATGGAGGACAATGGAGACAGTTCCTAGTTACTTTATCAGCTCTCACAGAGTTTTAAAAATTGTAAATGCTATCTGAAAATGTGCTTGTATTTTGTTATGCAATTTCACTCAGGTTCTTTGAGTGAAACATGCCACATTCACTCCTCAAGGCAGGAGCAACAGCTGTGTACTTGTGAAAGAGATAAGTGAAAGTGCAAACATATTTCCACAGGTGTGAAATATGAAATTTGGATTATTTTTGCTAAGAAACTTTACTCTTGGGAGGGAAAAAAAGCCAAACAAAACCCTGCTTAAGCTACAAAGTCCACCCTGCATAAGGTGCATCCCAACAGCAAAGAAAAAAGGTCACATTCCTTATTTGATGAGTGTTTGAGAATTTTAGTGTGTAACCAGAAAATTCTTCCTTTAGAACTAACAGTATAAACACATTCTTATTTCAGTGGATGTAGTTCTAACAGGACTAGGATGCATGTGTCAGGTGGATAATATGTTGACTTAGTGAAGATGAAAAATAAGGATTAAATCTCTATTTCATGTAGCAAACTTTCTTGCATATTATTTTCTGATCTGCTACCACATTAAATTTTAATGTATTGATGCATAATGTACTTGATGTTTGTATTTGAGACACATGTCTATTTGAGAAACTTGCTTTGTGAGTTTGCAAGAGATT